TGCTCTTGCCTTATAATAAAACCGTATTTGCAAATTTTGGATTATCAACAGCAATAAGAATAGTTTAGAGTAAGTAAATAGTGTCAACTTTAATGCAGTTTACTAATGGAAATCAATCACTGCTACAGTTATTTCTTCCAACAGTTCTTCCTCATCATGTACTCTATCTATTATTATGTTAAGTTCTACAACAGCTCAGCTGCATTTTCTTTCATATCACATGAACAAACCCCCTAGAAGTAGGTGCAGATTGTTAGTCTATGTGTCATCAATAAAAGATACTCAGGAATTTGAAGGTTAAACTAAAGCCCTTCAGGGCTGTTTTCTATTTATAGGCTCTAGATTCTATTTATATCTCTCAAGCACAGAGATCTGAACCCAAGAATGGAATCTTGCCTGTATGTAATTTAATTAATGGATGGCACAGAAAGCTGGGGCCAAGAGTGATTTATTCTGCACAAGCTTCTTCCTACTAGGAAGACTATCCTTCTCAAGCTGGTCAACAGAGTATTTTCTTATGCAGCAGACTTCTGGAATCTGCAAATTTTGCCTCTTCCAAAGAATGGGAGCTTTGTTAGAATCATCACAAATCTGCGTAGGATTTCCCAGTCTGTTCTGTGACAAACAGGACTTGCAAAAAGAGCTCTGTGTCCTGGAAATGCTGGAAAATCAACGGACCAACCACAGCTCTACACTGTGAGATTGTGGATGCAGCACACATGCTCCCCAGGTGCTTTGTAAACCTGGTCTTTTCAGGGCAAGTGCAGCCAGAGAGGTAATTGCATGTACAGCAAACCTGCTGATGCTCACAATACATGCTAGACTAACTCTGCATGTGCAAATAGTCCTTTCATGCATGCCTCAATTTTCCAGATTTTTACCACATGACAGCTCTAACCATATATCCACATGCTTTCTGTTACACATCCTGTGATGGGCATCTCTCATGGCCAGTGCAGTGAGAAAGTGTTATCCTGACCATCCAATCCCTGGCCGTGGTCAGAAGCCTATAAATCCTGGGGGGAAAAATAAACGCTCTTTGCTTTTCACCACACCTCAACCTGTGTCCATGTGATCTATTCATCTTCAGCGGCAACACCC